ACAGTATCTGTAAAAATGAAATAGACAACGCACAAGTATTGGATCATCAACACGTTTCATTTGTGGAACCAAATTATATTTTGTCAATAAAATAGATAGACGATGTACATTTTCAGCATCAAATAAACGAAATAAAGGCATCAACACATTTTCATAGAAACGTTCACTTCCCCAATATATATTCATGCCAACAAAAATGAGTCCTCCACCAGTCCATGTTTTTAATGCTCCACGAAGTTTTGGCTAAAATATTTTTATTTTATTTATTTATTTGTTTATTCATTCAAATTTTAATGTTCATTCTTTTGTTTTTTTTACATACCGACAATCGAAAACGTTTCATATCTACGAGAAAACTACAATAATTAATAAAAACAATGTGTTTAAGCCAAATTTCTCCATATCAGATGATATTTACTTCATATTCTCTTTGGAAGATGTATTTCACCTCTATCATTTTTATTCATAAGCTCTACAAAGTAACTTTACACAACTATTGCAAGTTTTAACAAATCATTTTATTTAGAGAATCAAAAACAAACGATTAACACAAAAATAAAAATGATATATTTTTTAATCGAATAATTTAGTTTAATAAGTTTCTAATTGTTGATGTATCACATAAAATATTTCTTCTATCGTATATCAATTAATTTGTGCTACTATTCACACATCCACCCGTTCATTCATATCGTGATCTAAACAATAAATATCGTTAATGCTTGCCAAATTTAAAATAAGTGAGAAAAGAAAATCACAAACCATCTGCAACTCGGCTTTTGAATACGATTAATTATTTTTCATTAACTAATGACTCATGAAAGTCTAAACGAAAAGAATAATATAAATGAATCGAAGCGTCGAAATACCGTTTATTATAAACGTACGAATCTGCATGGGTTTCGTTCGTGTAGTTCGGCATTATATCATCTAATTAAAGAATAGAATTTTTGTCTTGTTTTTTTTTTCCATTAGAACAAACAAAATACATACCATAAAATAATCCTTGAAGATTCAATAAACATTCAGCTGCCTTGCTTAGTTCTTCAAATGTAGCAGGATCTTAAATCAAAAAGTTTGTATTTAATGTTTGCATTAGAAGAATATTTATTCAAAAAAAAAATATCAATTACTACCCTTACTTCAGACATTCCTTTGGTCAAAAAACAAATGTTTTTCTATTTACTGTTCATTTTCATTCTACTCTTTTTTTCAACTTAATCGCTTACCAATTAAAGCTAATTCGTCTTTATCATCATCAACGAAATGACTATTCGGCGTTGGCAAATCTTCTAAAAGATTGTTTGTCATATCTAAAGTAAAATTGTAGATAGACAACAAGAGTTAGACTAATAAATATAATTAATTAATTAACCATTATTCATAACATCTTCGTTAGAAAAATTTGCCGTTGGAATAGGACTAGATTGATATAATTCAATACTTTCAGCTAACGGTCTAATCATGTTGGAATGTAATTCTCCTAATAGAACAATTAAATATAAAATTTATATAGAGAAGAAAAAACAAGCTAACTTTCATCATTGACCAATATTTCAGTTTCATCTACTATTGTAATTGAATATAACAGACGTGCTTAAAATAAATAAATTAGACATTTAAACATTGAAGAAATGATTACTATAAAATTTATATATTTACCTTGTTTTTCTAGTGCTTTGGTATCTACGTAATCCCAATTAATAGTTGTCTTATTTTCGCTATTCATATTCTGATTATGATATAATGTTTTCAAATGTTTTGAAAAATTTCCATAGGATTTAAAACTTAATTTACACGGTGTACACAAATAAGGACGAAAAGTTGTATGTAATCGAATATGTCGTCTCATATTACGCATAGAAAAACATTTAAATTCACATAGAGTGCACGTATAACTAAAACAAAAATAAAAAATCTACCAGCATGATTGAAGAATATAAATAATCTTAAGATGAATTATTCTCTCAAGAATAAAATAAAATTAATATTAGAATATTCTCCTTCACTTACATGGTTACACCGTCTTGCATTGTCTTCTTTCGAATAATCAAACGCTGTAACGGTTCATTCAATGATATTCCATCACAATCAATTACTTCATTTGTTTTTTTACCGGTTAACGATATTTTGTGTTTGTTAGAAACATATCGACCTGTTTCTGTAGATGTTATTGATATCACATCATGGGCACTCGATTTCAAAGTTTTTGGTACATTTTGTTTATCCCGCTTTTGTGATGCAGATGTTCGTTTCTGACACTTTTTCTTCATTGTTTTTACAAATGTTCCGTTAATGATGACATGTTGTTTTATGACTTTTTGTTCATCTTGTACAACAACAGTAGACGCCTCCGATGGCACAGAAATTTGGGAATTAGAAAGACTAGCAGAACATATTTGTTTATTGTGTGTAATTCGACGTTTTAAATGTGTTAAACTTTTGAAATGACGTAATAATGCACTACGCGTGCGAAAATTTAACTGACATATTCCACAATAAAGATTCTGCTCTACAGTTAACGCATCATATGTCACGTTCTTCTAAGATATAAAATATTCACATTTAGAGTTCTTTCTGCGCAGAGCAGCTTTTGATGGCCTACTTCTTCAATATTATTTACACATTGGTTTGCATTATTGAATAAACCTGTCGATTGCGGATCATAATCATTGTTCAAATAGTAAAACGTTGTTGGACTCTGAAATGTAATAAGTAACTTAACCAGAATCTACAACTTTATAATTCATCACGCCTCTTTTATCTTTGTAGATCGTCCAGTTTCCTCGATTTAATAAACTGAATAGGATAAAAACTACGGTATACTCACATCGGCTGTACTAAAATATGAGTCGTATGGAGACGAATAACTCATAGTAAAACTAAAATCTAATCTGCAATGAAAACAAAAAGAAAAACTACAGATAAAAATAATAACTGATATAAATATCCTTATTTTCAAAAATTATAGTCACAGTACCAAATTTTTGGGTTGTATTGAGGAAATAGTTATTCTTTCTTTGACTTCGAAGACGCTTGTAAAGGACAGTATGGAAATATCATTTTATCATTTTTGCAAAGATGTAGGTTACAGAGTTTGATGATAAGGTAACTCGGTTATTTTTTTGAATTGATCAGTCAAATCAATACCGTTCATGCTTATGTGTTTATCATAATCGACTCATCACTTTTCTCATTTAAAAAACTCGTGTGATTAACAATAGCATTGTTGTCCATAGTTCATTTGTTTGTTTTTTTTATTACCTAAGAACAAAACACACACACATTACAAAAAAAAACGGTACAAAAACAAACGAAATAGTAACAAGAATACAAAAACATACACTCAAAATATATCTGATAACAAATTCCGTAAAACTATCTAATTATTTCTCTCAATTTCGTTTAACTAGACAGATAAAAAGAAAGAATTTTCTAATACATTCCACCCATGCCTCCCATGCCACCCATGCCTCCCATTCCGCCACCCATTCCAGCGGCTCCTGCTTCTTTTTCTGGTTTCGGTAATTCAACTACAACAGCTTCAGCCGTGGTCAACAACGAGGCGACACCACTGGCGTCTTGTAATGCTGATCGAACAACCTATAGACAACATAGAAAATAAATAAAAAGGTGCACATTTTTTTCAAACAAAATAATAACATACTTTAGTCGGATCAATAATTCCGTTTTTAACCATATCAACAAATTCATCTTTCTGCGCATCATACCCAATTTCAAATGAACTATTAATAACTTTCTCAACAATAACACTACCATCTTTACCGGCGTTTTTAGCTATTGTAAAACATGGCATACGTAACGCTTTTCGCACAATGTCAACACCTAAAAAACAAAATAAAAGTTTCCAATTTACACAGAATCTAAGAATAACAAATATTTACCAATTTTTTGATCTTCATTAATTGTTGGTACATCTTTATCTAATGTTTTTAAGCATCGTAAGAGTGCAACTCCACCACCAGGCACAATTCCTTCTTCAATGGCTGCTCGTGTGGCATTTAATGCATCAGTAATACGATCTTTTTTCTCATTCACTTCCACTTCGGATGAACCACCCACTTTCAAAACGGCAATACCATTTGATAATTTAGCTAAACGTTCTTGTAATTTTTCTTTTTCATATTCACTGTTTGTTTCTTCAATTTCTTCTTTTAGTTGGTCAACTCGACGTTGTATACCTTGTGGATCACCTCTACCTCTCATGAGTAATGTATCATCTTTTGTTATTGTTACTTCGCCTACATGTCCAAAATCAGATGCTTGTATTTCATCTAATTTTGTTAGATTTGCTTCATCACCAAATACTGTTCCACCACATGCAATTGATATATCTTTCAATGTATTTTTTCTATTATCACCAAATCCAGGTGCTTTTACAGCACATACTTGTAAACCAACTTTCAATCTAAAATAGAGAGAAAATAGAAATTTTTGGCCATCTGTTTTCTAATTAAAAAAGAGAAAAAGTAACTAACCTGTTGAGAACAAGTGTTGTTAACGCTTCTCCATCAACGTCTTCGGCGATGATCAATAATGGTTTTCTTATACTATTGGCTAATTCAAGTGCTGGAATAAATTCTTGAAGAGATGATATTTTTTTCTCACTAAGAAGTATAAGTGCATCTTGAAATTCACATTTGGCACCTTGACGAAAAAACAACAACAAATATTTGCCATAAGCAGTTATACGTAAGATAACAACACTGTTCAATTATACCTTTGGATGTATTAATAAAATAAGGTGAGATAAAGCCACGATCAAATTTCATTCCTTCAATAACTTCCAATTCATCGTTTAGAGTTTTTCCGTCCTAAATAAAAGAAATTTAGTGATATGATAGAAGACTTTGCAATCAATTTTATTTTTACCTTAACGGTGATAACACCATCTTTTCCAACTTTCTTCATTGCATTTGACAAAATATCACCAATCGACACATCTCCATTGGCGGAAATTGTTGCTACCTGCAAAGAATATCAATATGATTGAAGATGTTTCGAATTTATTCTTATTTTAGAAAATAACCTTACTTGAGCAATTTCTTCGGGTGTTGTTACTTGTTTGGACATTCTTTTTAGTTCTGCAACAACACTTGTAACAGCTAACATAATACCTCTTCGTACTTCGATTGGATTTGCACCACGGCTTATTTTATCAAAACCTTCTTTGGCTATCGCACGTGCAAGAATCGTGGCTGCTGTTGTTCCATCACCTGTAACAAAACAAAACATTTTGTAATTATATTTGTTTTATAACCAGAATCAACAAAAGTACTAACCAGCTTCTTCATTTGTATTATTAGCTACATCTTGTACTAATTTTGCACCAATATTTTGAAATTTATCTTTTAATTCAATGCCTTTGGCCACTGTGACACCATCTTTTGTTATTTTTGGTGAACCCCAACTTTGTTCAAGAATAACATTTCGTCCCTAAAAAGAATAATACAATTCAAGTCAGTTAGTGCATAAATTGATCAACTGTTTGAGAGTGATGCTCTAATTGTCAAAAATATCACAATAAAACCATCCAAAAGAAGATGAATAATTTGAGATCAACAAATCTAATTATTCTCTTCACAATATGATGTCAAATACTAACTTTTGGGCCCATAGTGACAGCGACGGCATCCGCTAATATATCCACACCCTGTAACATTAGTACACGAGCATCTGTGCCAAATTTGATATCTTTAGCATATGTACGTTTTATTATTTGAGAAATTATTGCGGATGATGATCGACCACCCAAATTACACAGACGAAACATGATGAAAGAATAATATGAAAAAAATAAGTAGTTCACCTATAATCTAAAAATAAAAAATATCAATGAACTTTATATCTACTATCAGATAGCAAAAATCAACATCTAAAGGAAAGTAAGCTTCTTTAACCTCTACAACAATTTAAATTCAATATAAATTACTAAACCACTAAAAGATAAAATGTTGAGCACTGATATCAGCGAAGATCATTTGAATAAACATCAGTTAAACAAACGTTATGGGATAAGCAAGATAAGTTTTAAACAACGATTTTCAGTAGTGAACACGCGTCATATTCGATCTAGAAAATGTGCTTCATCTTCAGTTTATGATTAATGAGAGATTAAAAATACAAAAAAATAAACAAACTTGTTTCAGAGAAAATCCCATAATAGTTATTGACATACTTAGTAGTTCAGAGATAGTTCGCAGAAAAATGTTTACTTCAAAATATCATATATATTGAAAAAATAGGATAACTTTTTCGTAAATATCTTGCAAGTTATTGTAACAAATAAAACAAGAACTCGATCCTATATATGTGTTTACTCACCCTTATCACAAAAAGTAAAAGTATGCTGCAATGGAAGAGATAGCTGCTTTTTTGATTCGTTCTTATTTACTATCATAACCTGCCGAATAGTAGATCTTGTCTATTCAATTAAAAAAATGCTTGTATTAAAGTCGACTGACTGCTTTTTACGTAAAAAGAAAATGTACGACTGAAGGAAAGAAAAGCAATAAGAACGACGCGAACTTTCGAGACAAGGACAAGGACAAGGACAAGGATGCTGCAATAGCGTACACTTTTAGCCTTTGTAATGTTATTGTTCTTTCGTTCTTTTCATTCATACGTAGAATCGCCACGTGTGAAGTTGATAAAGAAAGAGAAAAAACAGTGGTCGTATTATAGAAAAAGAGAGAAAGAGAAAATTACTGGCATGATAAATAGTATTGCGTACACATTTTTTAAAATCGACAAATTTTCCAACAAAGAAAATCTTGTACATCGAACTATTTTTTTTATCAACAGTGAATTAAATTGATCGCTAAAAAGATGGTAAGTCTTCGATATACCAACTTATACTGGTAGTTTCGAACATTTTTTTACACCTTGGGTATTAGAGACTGATCGTCTGTTCTGAACTAATGCTAGGACAGATAGTCTGATGTCTTTTATACGTCACTTCATTTTACCCTTTCCCGAAGCTACTCAAACGTCTATATTTCTTTATCCACAGTTAATCTCAAATGCACCCTTTAAGGGCCATTGCATGTTAGGGACGACCAAAGTTGTTCAATCAATGCCTGAGTTTTTTGTTCCTATTTGCACAATTGGTAGCAGCGACATACTTAAGATTCTTGATCGGAACTTCCTTCCTTCAGAAGTTATGGAAGTTTTCGTAAGAGCCCTACAAACAGACCGAAACTATAACTACGTAAAAGTAAAATTTCTTCTGTTTATATCTTGGTCTAGGAAGCAGATCAAGCGATCACATTTGGAGCATAAGTAGTCGAGGTCGAGTACTATCTATAGTCACGAACGTGTGCAAAAATAACTGTCGCACATGTGCGAACATATACGCACAACAAAGAAGAATTTTACTAGCGAAGCCTTTCGCATAATTTTTTTTAACCTGAAAAATATGTTATTACATTTAATATCACTTATATCTATTGTATAAGTGTATCTCTACTATAAACTATGAATTCACTTCGTACAAGTTCCGTGGTTGTTCTACGGATCAGCTCAAAAGGTGGTAGAATATGAAAAGTGGCCTATTTGAAGATCGATTTTCTCGTCTGATACCTCTGGAAATTTTGGCGCTCATATGTCAATGATCACTACTCATGTCAGGCTGTCAAACTATGCTTTCAGATTTACGGCATATTCAACTTCACTTTTGCTGGTTTATCGCAGCAGATTTTGCTGGGAACCGTTGTAATAAACCAGCATAACTGAATGTGATGAAAGTGCATTTTTCAGGAAAGAGCATGATGACATAAGTTCCTGTAAATTTCGGAATGCTTTTTGTGGCTGTGACGAAAATTCACCTAACGTGACAAAAGTTCCGTAGAGTGTGACGAAAATGCCCTTATTTTTAACGGTTCTTGTTTAACTTTCGTCACGTATAAATACCGCTCGCTATAAATATAGAATAGAAAATCAAGTTTCCTATTAGTTGTTAATGAAGAAAATATAATCTGTCATTAGCCAATGAGAATCGACGAAATTTATCTGAAATTGATAACCACTTTTAATTTTTATGTGATCGGAAGTATTCTTTCAGTAAGAGCTACACCTAGTTTTTACTATACTGCAGAGGAAGTACTTACAGTGAACAAAGATTTACTGTTCAAAACTTATGAACTTACTCTGCAACTAATTGCTCAGAAAGTACTGCATTTAACGTTCTTTAAATGTGACCAAAGTTCAACACTACTGCGACGAAATTTTTGGTGTGTGTGACAAAATTCACACTTTGACGACGACAGTTCTCGAGGAGTACCTTCTCCTAAGGAACTTTCGTCATGTATGACAAACATATCACCGGATCGAAAAATTTTAAAAGCTCGTCCGGTCAAAACCATTTGCAGAGTTGTCTTCTCCATGATCGATTTATCTAGTACGCGATAACTTCTGGATCGGGGTACTTTAGAAAAAATTTTCGACATAATTTTGCCTTTGGTCCCATACAGTAACTTTATGAGAAATGTTTCGGCAAGGCCATGAGAAAATTTTTTTCTAAAGTATCCCGATCCAGAAGTTACCGCGTACCGGATAACCGACCATGGATAAGACGAATCTGCAATCGATTTTGATCCAACAAGCTTTTAAAATTTTTTGATTCGGTGGTATGAAAGTGCGTTCGTCATGATGACGATAGTGTGGTGTGACGAAAGTGCCATAATTCTGCAATGACTCTTAAGTTTACTTATCAAGTAATGTTATGATGACATTTTTTTCAAAGTATGTCATTTCACTATCAAAGTTACTTCCTGTGTCGCTTGAATCGACGCATTTGGTGCTAATTATGGCGCGTCAATCTAGGTCACTTTCACACATATTTTCATTTTTTAGGCATCTGGTGCATTGAAAAAAATTATTCCGTTATTTGATCGCGTACTCGTCGAAAGATTTGCACCTGCATTAAAAACAAAAGGTGGTTTACATATCCCAGAGAAAGCATTAGGAAAAGTTTTAAATGCAACTGTCGTAGCTGTTGGAAAAGGAATTCGTCAGAAAGTAAATGACAGTAAAAATGAATTAGAATGTTTTTAGTTATTTTTTTTCATCTCTTATTTTATCTTAGGATGGCACGTACGTGAGTGTTAGTGTTCAACCTGGCGATAAAGTATTATTACCAGAGTATGGTGGTACGAAAGTGGAATTAGAAGAGAAAGAATATTTCATTTTTAAAGAAGCGGATATATTAGCCAAATTAGAACATTAATTTTCAATCGAACACAAGCGAAAAGCAAAATTAGTCAAATTTATTGTTTTTGTGTGTCGTTTTTTCCACTTCTCTTCCCGATGTGTTTTTGAAAAATTTTCTCTCCATGTATGTGTTTGTGTGCGTGTAGGTAAAACAAAAATTAAACATCATCTTTTCTGAGTTAGAACATGTTCTCGTTTATTCTGACTTCAGGTAAAGAATTTTTGCTAATAAAAGAAAAGCTTTTTTGCATCAAGTCACTTGTTTTTCTTCTAGAACTTTTCAAAAAATTCATTTAAACACGTGCTGAAGTAAATAAGCAATGCTATCGTTTTAGTTTATATAAATTGTTCCATTCTACTAATGAAATGGAAGGAATCTGTTAGAAGAGATCTCATTTCATAACCTTTATATATTTTTCCTTGGAACGAAAAGTCCTGTTATAAAAATAGATTTCTCATATTGCTTGTAAACGAGAAAACGCAAACCTGCCTCTAAGTGTATACAAATTTTTGAAAATAAAACAAATTGCCTCATAATATAAAATAACAATAAAAACAAAATGATTACAATAAAATGAAAATCTCGTTTAATTTATAAATAATTATTATCTTTGGAATGCAGATAACAGGTTTTTGTGAATACTAATAACTGTTATTTAATAAATTTCGATATTTTTTGATAAATGCTTCCTCTTCATCAAGTGTAGTGTGTAAATATTCATCAGCATCCCCCTTTGATATATCATTAATTACGGTATCAAGCAATCGACGTTGTTGTTCATTTGCTGCATTCCTAATGCCACGATTCAAACGTCTGAAAGCTAAAAATAAAACAAATTACATAAGTATTTAAAATAACGAGAAATAATTGAAATTTACGTTCGTTAGATACTAAATAAACAACGATAAGAAAATAATTCTGAAGCTAAGCATTGCAGAACTTATGCTTATATTATCTCGTCATCTAGTACTTTTTTCTTATTCCTAGAAGTTTTAGGCAATCTTATACTTATCTAATACCTTTTTCTGCTGATTTCGCTTGTGCTTTAGTACGTAATTCACTTATATCACTATTTTGCATTAAATAATTTGCTGCGTTTTCCAAATTATTTGATTCAATTTCTAACGCGAGTTTAGCAGACTCCGGTTCAAATCCTAAGTTCGCTAGATGTGAAACGTGTTCATCAGACACTGTTTGTGTATTGTTAACGTCATTTCCATCTTCTTCGCCTTCTAGATCATCGAAGATATCCAACGGCTGTCGAGAAGCAGCGGCTGCTGTTAACAATACATCCGGATTTGTTAACAATGCTTCGAGCGCTTGTTCTAGATTATTGTTAGTTTGTTTCAATGCTTCAGCACACGACCGTTTAGAATATCCCATTTGTACTAAGTTTTTAAATTTTTGAACATCAATCCTAAAATAAGTTAACGATACTCAATAATTATTAAAACCCTCCAAGAGAAAGTGAATATTCTCAACTTTGAAGAGGTAATTGATGTAAAAGTGTTCAGAACTAACGAAGTAAACATGACTCATCTTAACTGCATTTAAAACAAACAAGTACAACCGTTAACGTTAAGTTTCTACTTACCAATTCCCGTTTTGTGTTTTTCCATATTTGCTTTGAATATGTTGCTCCTGGATCCTTTGTCGTTCTGCTTCCGCACGGTCTTGTTTTGTTCGTCGCCGTTCTAATATGTGATCAATTGCACGTTCTATATTGCCCATAGATGCACGTAGGCCTAATCTTGCTTCAACATCTGAATAACCCATTAACATCACTAAAACAGATTAAGTATAAATCAACATATTGTTTAGGAGTGAAAGAATGTAAATAGAAACCTTGCGTTAACTTTTCATTATCAACCTTCATCGAATTCAATTCTGTTGCAGCTAGATCAAGCAAATTTTTTGCATCTACTTTTCTTCCCGCGTGATAAGCGACAATAGCCTAAAAATGAAACATTTAAATTTTTGATTATTTTCTCTAGAAAAACTTACATACTTGCAACAAATGTAATCGAACAAATAAAACAACATGTTTTTGTCCATCTTTTTCAACTGCCAACAGTCTCTTCAATGAGTTCCCATAACATTTGGTAAAACATTCATCACAACGTCTCAAACGTTCACTAGCATCTAAAGAATGGAGAACAATATTTAATTATTCTCATTCACACTTTTCTAAATACATTTACCTTGTAGGTCGTTAACATTTTCCAAACATAAATAACACCAAACAATATCTAAGTTGAGTAACCCCCAAAAAAGAGGAATAAATTATTATTTTCAGCTTATCAGATGAGTTATTCGACATAGGAGAAAATAGAAAAACAGAATTTCACATACCAATTATCAACAATGGATAAAATTTCCGGATTACATTGACGAAATTCGTTATCAGCTTCACAAAATAATGTCAATGCACTCAAGTATTCATGGTTTTTCAAAAATGATCTTCCCTTTTCGTGCAATGTCATGGCAAGCGTCAGCGATCGACGCTCATTTTCTGGTAATCGTAATTCTCGACCATTTTGATCGGTTATGTTTAATTGATAAATATCTGGGTTGTTTAAATCGACATTTTGATTCAAAATTTCCGCTGCTTGACGCACTGCTTCTACCAAGTTTGTATTGATATTTGAAGCTGTCGTTAAAGCGACTTCCGATTTTGGTATATGTATCACAAGAATAGTGGCATTTTCCTGAGATAAAGAAATACACTATCGGCTCTGACACATCAGATAATGGTGAAGATCTTACTTTGATATTTTGTGCTTGTAATGTTTGCTGAAAATTTAATACTCGTCCCGAACAAATCAATTTCAAATCACTGTCCTGTAATGATAATTTATCCTTAACAATATTGACTAATTGTTGTCCAGTAGAATAATAAGGTACATCTAACGTTGTACAAATAGAACCCTAGAAAAAGCGACGGTTGATATTTATCAGAATTTTCATGCTATCCATTGAGAATCTTACTTGCGTTTCACTCGATGAACGAATCTTTATTTTAATCAAGTCTTTTTGTTGTTGTTCTTTTTTTACTGCTAATTTTTCTAATGCATGTAATCTTAATTGTGTCAATGTTTGGTGAATAACTGTGTCTGGAATACCAGTTTCGGCACATATACTTTGTACAAGTTCCTAAATAAACAAATAGATAGACCAATGAAAACATGAAATTCTAAAATAGAATATGGATGTGTAATTTCACCATCTTGATTTTCCTCATTCGCTTAGTTTTTCTTATAAATCATTACTTAATATTGATTAGATGTCTGTACCATTCATTTTTTTATGAAAAACAGAAGCCTTTGTTCTACTCGAAGCACAAAAACTTCAGATGAGTAAAGCTGCCATATCTTATAGTTTTAGGACGTAACCTGCGGACTGTTTTATAAATATTGCTTTATAAATATGTATTAAAACCACTTTGTCCACTCTACGTTTTAGAACTTAGTGGAAAGTGCTACTTTATAACTCTTGATCTATTCCACGTTGATTAAAAGTCTCATCAGAAACGTTGTTATAAATTTTGCACTAAACGTATGTGTCGATCAACTATTGACACTCATAGATACTTACTTGTGGTATATTTTCTTTCCCATCTTTGGTTGTGTAAGGTTCTTCCCATAATTTCACTTTATCACGATTTAACAATGTTCGAATAAGGTCATTTACTTCTTTATCTACTTCACTTGTGTTCGCCGACATGCTGTTTTAGTATAGTGTAGACTAGCAAAAGTAATTGTACTGTAAAAAGTATTAAAATAAGTAACTGGTGGTATTACGTTCTTTTATGGAAACTACTCTGACTCATGTATGACAAAATGTCATTATCCAATAAACGAAGAGGACATCTACCTAGAATGTTGTACCATATTCCACGTACAAGTGATGTAAAATGAACATCACAAATTGAACAATCAAAAATTTCGATTTAGTTTCTCATATTGAACACATTTTTTAACTTTTGGGTGTGATTTGGGGGTGGTCATGTCTATTTTTAACCAATGAGTGGAAAAGATCCATCATTATCATAAGAAAAAATAAAAGTTAGTTTAAGCCAATAGAATTCCTTAAAGCTCCTTTAACTTTTGTAGTGTAGACAAGGCCTTATATACTATAAAATATTTTTTCTTATTAGTGTGAGAAGAGATTGTCATCTTTCTTTAATAAGTGTTTTTTGAAGTCTTCAGACTGGAAGAAGCTGTCCTAGAGATGCTTGATAATGACTCATCGACAGACAAATCATAAGCAGAAGTATTGTTTGCCGTTGTCTGTGAGTCATGAGTATATAATAAGAAGAATCAGAGCTACCAAATTTAAACTTTTCAAAGAATTAAAGAAGTTTCGAAATTTTTGTGAGAAGAGATTTCAAGATTGAAACAATTTTTTCAAAGTTTGAAGCCGTTTAGACTTCAAGATAAATAAAAAATACTATCTGTTTTGAATGAATGAATTCATTCACATAGAGAGGTCATCAAAGATCCCCGATCGGTAACATCATTCAAAGTAATATCGTTTAACAAAAATAAAAAAATTATTTCCTATAAAAGTTTTGTAGAACATAGTTTTTACATTTGAATATTTCATACTAGCAAGCATTTCGTTAAATAATTCAGAGATACATGAAATAGTTATAGATAGTATCTGAATTTTTGTTTTCAGTATTCTGCAGCTATTTCAGCAGTTTTATTTGCATTTATATAGCTTGATGGCATGTGTAAAGGAAAATGAGTTACTCTGTTGGCGGTCAGTGGTCACTGTTGTATTGAGTTCGTCCTTTGAACTTGTCGGTTAGAACGAGTCGTTTTTAAACTAAAAAAAAATCTGCGTACAGCAGTGCTTAATGGGTGGTCTAAAAAAACTGGTTCCCCTTGACTAGTTTCTCTTACATCCTCAAAATACAATGTTCTTTGTGAAAGATGCACCGTTGGAATTCTTGATAAAAATAAAAGTATATTAAGTGTTTTATCACAAGATTTATACGTAAAAAATGATGAACGTACTAGAAGTATTGAAAGCTACGAAATAGTCGATAAAGAAGTTGTAAATAATTTTAGTGTTCAAAAAGTTTTCGTTATTTTATTAGAACTCAATTATATAGAAGGAAAATGTTCGTAGAAGATATTTAGAGATTACTGTTATCGCACTTTGTTAAAAGATATGATCTTGAGAATTTGAGATAAAGATCTGTTCGAACTTTAGATGTACATAGAAAATTATAATTGTATTCTTTTTTCCATAAAGTGTACTTTAACATCTTTCCAGAGTTAAAAATTATATTCGCGTGTATCTAACCTGACCTGAGCATGCGTAAAAAAACGCATCATGTTGTCTGCTCACATTAAAAATCTTTTTGTTAGAAAAACCATGTAACTTAGTGAAATAAACAAACAAAAGTGTGACAACTGACTGTAGAAAACAAGAAATAGAAAGGTTCAATAAAAACAAATCACAGTTAAACTGTGAAAATAATATTCGAATAGTGAACAATAAAATAATTAAAAAACAAAATTCTCACAACACATACATATAACAACTTACAAAATGGAACAGTTTTTTCCTTCACAACAATGCGAAAACAACATTTGCTTTGAGCTGTTAAAACAAAAATATATATTTTATTCTGTATATAAATAAAAGCGAGAAACAAGAGAAACTAATCACGAATATTTGGTACTTTATGTTTTCTATTACTCTGCCTTCTCGTACCACAACATACTAAACTACCTAGCCATGAACAATCTAACTTTGTTCGCCTCAAATGCATCATATGTACGTGCACAGCTTGATCAAATACGTCTCTCACATTAAAATTTAACATTGATGAACATTCAATATAACGTTTAGCCGAACATAGACGAGCTAAATATTCGCCTTCATTTTGTGTAATAGGTTTTTGTTGTTTTTTAGTCAATTGTTCCAATGTTGATAAATCACTGCGAAGATCAATTTTTGTACCAACTAATATTAGAGGAACTTTTGAAGCGTAGCCTGAAACAAAGATGATAGAGCAAGTTATTAAGTATAGTTATAGCGTCGTATTACAATAGGATATAGATGAGCATCAAGATGATACTCGTTGATGGTATTTTATTGTTTGACATTTCAAATTTAGCTCTGTTCAATAATCATTTTTTGAAGACTTAGCTAGTGGTTTTACAGAATTACTTGACATTTTTTTAGTGTTAACAATGACTAATAGCTTACGATTTAGCTCTGGTATCCATTTCGAAAGAATATTTGCATAACTATCTGGATCCACAACGGAAAAACATAAAATAAATACATTCGTATTTGGATAAGCCATGATACGTAACTGATCATATTCTTCCTAAAAGAATAAGAATAAAGATGTAAATCGTGTTTGTTGTTTTCTATAGTATATCTTCTTACCTGACCGGCAGAATCGAACAAATTAAGTATCCATTTTTTATTAAATAAAGTTACTGTTGCTAAAACGAGAAGAAGAACGAAATTTGGTATTACTTTGAAGATATCAATTGAAAAAAATCAAAATAATTTACTTCGATTCGAAAAAGTGAACTTATGATCTACATTAGCAAGAGAGAAACATTAACATATGAAAGAAATATGATACGAGATGTATAATTTGTATATTTCAGTCTGACCAGTTAAAACACGCCTCTTTGAAAAATGAGCAGTACAGTAAGTTGAAACCATAAATTATGTAACAAACGACAAAGATATATTTTTTCGGATATTAAAATTTAAAATAAATCTAATCTGAAGATACTAGACTAAAAACGATAATATTTTTAGCGTTCAACGTGTATCAAAAACTTCTTACAACAGAATATCAGGCAAACATTAAATAGCAATAAAATATAAACACAAAAATAGAAATGTAGTGAAATAAGTTTTTACCTGCATAATTTTCAAAAATTGTTGGCACATAGGGATCTTGCGGATACTGTCCGTCCTTATATACGACACATAGTGTTGTCTTTCCGGTATAACCATCCCCTAGAAAAGAAAACGGTACTTTGTTCGTTCTTCACACATTATAAGACTATTGAATCTTTAGAAGAATCTATCTGACTTACCAATGACAACCACTTTTATTTCGTCGAGCGTTGAGCTTTTTGACATACACTAGAAAAATAAAATAGAATGATCATTTGATTATTGATATCTTTTTTATTCTATCCTAGTACCAAGAAAAACGACATGTGAACATTTTCTCATTCTATTTTTGATTTTTTTTTCTTCAAGAATTCAGAATGTGTGAATATAATCAATCTATTGTACATGAACACACATATATACAACAATGACGTTTAAAAGTAGTTAGCTCTCGTTCTTTAACAATAGTACCACCATATCTTAACAAGAACACTTTAAAATGAAAAATATCATTTATATAAATGAATGTCAAAAAATTCTCAATGTTTCAATGACCGACACAATCTTTTTTTTCTTTTCTCTTTCTGTATCAGTAGTTGACATATAAATGCGGTCAATTTTACAGTGATAAGTATTCTTACACGTATATATATACGTACACTGTGTATTTTTATAAAGATTATTGATACAACAAAAAAAGCAATATAGATTGATTTTTAATCACTTAAAAATAAATTACTAATACAAAATAGAGTTTTAACTGGTGTGAAGTATTCCGTATGTTACTTCTAGAAAAGGAAACTAACTAAATCATTAGATCTTGAACAGTTTAGTGACAATCGACCAGTAAATAACTAACATTATATATGTCCTTCTCAAATCGTAAATAATAGAATACGTTACCTGAATGTGTGTGCTGTAAATAGTAGTTTCTCGTACGTTTATCGCAGCGAGATACTTCGGTTACCAAATTTTTTCAAGACAATTTCTTGGGCAATGCAAGAAACCCGACAACTTTTATGTATTAAGGTATATATAAAGGTATGACAGACTTACAATAAAACTTGCACAAGGAAGATATGCCCAATAAAAGTGAAGCATTCTTACTAAACTGAAAATAATCTCATAAAAATCGTTTTTTCCTTACTGAATACACCGAAATTTCTCTATTTATGCTTATTCGAATGTTTTAAGGGTAGTTTTGTACAATCAAAAGCTTCCTAAACACTTGACAGAAAAACGAAAAGAGTAGGTGTAAAATCTGGATGAGGATTCATTGATTTGCGCAGACAGACAGCGTATATGTATCGCTCAATTTATCATAGTACCACAATTATGTTCGAGAGAGGAACTGTCAATACTTTTTTGCTGCCACTTTCGCATCTGGAAGAAAACGAAGATCCGCCTTGCTTCTTTCTTTCGTTCTTTTTATTTTGGTAACATACCATGGTACATAATAAAAGTTCAGACACAAGAATGACTTGCAACAGAAAAAATAAACATGGAATTCAAAGTTTCTGCCGATCATGACCAACAACTAAAAATAGGCACGAGTTCGGGCTAGAAGGCTAGCCTGACGATCGAACTCTCTGTACACGCACCAACTTTCTAACAAACCAGAGAAGCTATTTCGTACGTCACAACATAGAAGTGCCGAGATTTGAACAGTACTTCTAAAGTACGTAAAGAACAACATAACTGTCAAAGCATTATCCATCCAGGCCAGATATGCACGAGATTATTGTGATGAAAAAGCGTAGTCAAAAGGTGGATTCACTGTAGTAAAGTGTTTCAGAAAGTATAGACACTAATAAAGTAGAAAATAAATTATAGAAAAAGAAAGATAATTTTCAAAGAATCCATCCATGCATTCGCCGGTGATTTTCTATTTTCAAGAAATTCAAAGCTGATTTTCTGTCGACTTTCGATCTGGAAAATCGCTTTCAATTTCAACTAGGTAGCATTTTCCTGTGACTTTCTCCATTGTAGAAAGTCGATACCGATTTTTACTCATCGTCACACAGACTGCTCTCCATGACAGGAAAAGTAACTCATAAAACTTCACATTTCGACAAAGTCACTGTGAAAAATTGACATATCTCGACATACCAAAGTCTAGCAAATATTGCGTGTTCTTATGTGATGGAATAACAAAACAAAAAAGAATGAATGAAAAAAAACCGCAAAATAGATTTGCTTTTCTGAAAAATCAAAATCGATTTTTTTATGAAATCGCCATTTCCTAAAAGATCGGTGTTGATTCAGTATCGAATCGATTTTCTAATTTGTTATAAAATCGTACAGCATACTATAACCGTTTGAAAATGCTCGAGCATTTTCTACATCGATTTTCTATAAAGTAGAAAATGTTTCCACTTAACAGTGTATACCAACGCTGGGAAAGAAGTTAATGATTTAAGAAAAGAATCGAAAGAAGGCTATTTTTGAAGGGTTGACGAATAAAATAATATTTTATAGAATTGAGGAAAGGTTGATCCAGGCTTACTACTATTATATTTTCAATAGAATGTAAAGAAGAGATGCGAGGTACTGATCGGTCCAATCACATGAGAGAACTTAGAAAATGTCAAAAAGTGAGAGGGTTCACTCATGTCAGTAACGCCCATGGTATGAGACAATCAATGATAAAAGACAAATGTTAAGCATAAGTGGGCTTGGACACAAGTAATTGCTTTTGACATCACCATTTTTTTTCTATCTTCGATTCACCTTTCTCATCCACATCTTTTAAAAACGTTAACTTTTCTCCCAGATAATCCTGTTTTCTATGCCTACCGTTAGATTTGCATTAGTTAACGACTTTTTCATTTGTTTATTTCCATTTTGTAAATACATTTTTTGAAAATAGATAATCCTATAATTTGCCATTTATTGCTCTTAAGTATTTTGTCAACTTTCCTCTCTATCGAGGATTCCCAGGCGGAGAAAAGGTACAACGAGCGTGTAGACACTTGAACATTTAACAAAAAAAAATATATAAACGTTCAATATGTGCATACAGTCACATTTGAAAAAAAACGAAGAGATTATAACACCTCACGACTGTTTAAACTTGAAATGTAAAAAACATATATATGATTGTACACAGATAAAAAGTATAGAAGAAGAAAAAGAAACTGTTATACTTTCTATTTTCCTATCTTTTTCGTTCATTATTCTTATCAAGATCAAATAGGGTTTTTTTCAAAATCAGTTGTACGTGTCTTTATATCCATTATACATGAACGTCAAAAAAAAGAAAAGAGAAAGAAGCAAACAAGACGTTGAGCGTATGCTTTTTATCTTTTCGAGAATTGTTGTAGGTACAGATGTTTGATAAGAAAAAAAAGAAAAATAAGTACAGTTTAGAGGTATATAGACAAGATGTAAAATAACGTACGAATACTAGGTAATTTAGAGTTAATAGAACAAATCACCTGTTCGCAACAGACTGCTAATAAACAACAAATCTAAGAAATGAAAAATAACTGATCTATGTCCCGTTATTTATTCGTTAGAGGAACGCTTTTCTCGTACATAAAGGATAATATATGATCAAACAATGTTGATGTTCAATGTGTTGATAGTACCAGGAGAATATATTATATAGAAGTGTGCACGTTGGAGACTAAAAGTTGACTTAAAGGACAATTCAATTTTTAAAAGTAAACTGCGTTGATCCACTGAGAACTATTGAATAATGCAGTCTGATGAAGAATCAATAAACACGTGTTTTATTGAACAAACGATCACTTAGTACTACCAAATATATTTCCATATTCTTTCATAACTTTCTAGGTACGACATTTTTCACAAATAGACAAGATATACACTTACCAGTTAGAAGTCTGCCAGAGTTGTAAAATATTTTTTGTCAAACACGGTATTTATTTATTTACTTTTTCTATGTGTTTGAAATTAATAGTCTCAATATAAGTTACGTGAATTTGAGGGTCGATAATTTAATGAAATAAAAGAAGTACTTCAAGTGTTAATAGTTCTTTCTTTTATACGTTGTTTTTTTCTTTGAAAATATATAAACTGGCTTCTGTTCTTTCTCTCTCTTCTGATTACGTGTATTACGTGTTTTTTTACATAAGGTAGTTTTCGTTTATTATAAACATATTCTGTGTCTTTCTCTTTCTATATATATCTACTATGATTATGATTAGTTCTACTTTCGTTTTTTCTTCTTCTCTTTCCAGCACTACCACCTCTACAACCACCACCGCATCATTGTTTTGTACCTTTTCTAGACTAGTATTTAAAAAAAAATAATTTTTTTCTTTCTTCTTTTTTTTTTTGCCAAGTGTACAAGAAAGGGAAAATAAACACATCGCAAAAGAAGATCTACGTGTACGTGGGAGTTAAATGAGATGTATCATATCGAAAACTAATGAAGGACAACAAAAAAAAAAGAAAGTTCGCTGTAGAAAGGAACGAAAGAAGAAAAGAAGCGAAAGTATTTTTTTAAATTTCCTTCCGCACGCACTCACGACCTTAAAAGAACGAAAAGTTACCTTGATGCCTCGATCTTTTTATCCCGAAATCAGTAGCTTTGGATTTGGTCTGTGATTAATTAGTCATCGATTTCACGATGATTAGTGTCACTCATATTTCAAGGACTCTTTTTTGACGGAAAGGACTCTGATATTTTTTGAATTGATCGAAACAGCATCACTTTCTCGTTTTACAGCTGTTTTCTGTATTATCTAAATTAAATATATCCGACAGAGAATTTTCGGAATTTTATGACCTTTGAAGAGACGATTGTGAGACACAATATTTGAGGCATGAGAAGAGTTTCTGTTAATATATATGCTCATTCTATCGAAATTTCTAAACCTTCGCCCATGACAGAATACTATCCCAAATTAAGCTTTTGAATGCTGCTATTTTGAATGAGGGTCTAGTGATGAAGTACACGAATTCAACTTTTCGAACAACAGAAAATTCGGATGAATATCTTTCATGGAGACAGGACACAATGGACATTTTTGCCATATGGGGAGGCGACTTTTTTCTGTCCAAAAGATTTTATTTTGGCTTAATATAACCGTCTGTAAAACCTATTTCGACAAAACGAAAAGCTTTTTTCTATCAGGAAAACGTTTTATGCGAGTTGCTACGACTTTATACTGGTTTTCTCTACGTGGTTTTTACAACTATCTGCTACACATGAAGTTGGACTTCAAATAGCAAAAGATAACTAAGCTATCTAAGTTTAGTAGTCCAATTTTCATGATTTCCACTTTAGTTTCAGTTTTTTGCAAAATGACCGGCTAAATGCACATTATTAGAAAAGCGTATACATCCGGTATTATCTACTAGATCCGGTATTGCTATAGCCTATATTGTTTGATACATAATCCTACTATATTGTCAAAGGAGCGTTTAAAATTGTTATACGATATATATCATACAGAGTCTGCACAAATGTAATTTTTAAATTATCACAACTAGCCTTATGTACAGCTTACAGCTTAGTTATACATGAAAAGAATCGGTAAATAAAAAAATGTGAGTACAAATGACGACTAGGAGTAGATGAAATCAATTGAATTTGAAGGTTGTAAGTATGGAACATAAAAAAACGAAAAGAATAGACAAGGTTATATTATTCAACAGTAAAAAAGAGTTGGTCATGTGCGAGCAAAATTCATTCAACCATGAATAAAATTTCATATTTCTAAAGTTCATAGATCAGCTTTACAGTCAGATAAATATGGTGTGTCAGAGTGAACTGACTCTCCAGATGTGCCCACATCAGTTTTGATGTGGGTTAATGCAAATTGACTATAATATTATACTATCGATGAAAAATTAGTTGAACAAAGTCATGAAGTAAGGAACAATATTCTATATTTGATATCAAGACCTCGGCTTAAATCGGCTTGGCTGGTATCTATGATGTATTGGATTCTAGTAGTGTGTATCAGATGAATCAGAATCAGTTTTATTCTGCTGAAAGGCGTCTGCAATATTACATCCGAGGAAAAGTGTACAATTTTATAGTCAAGGTTCATGATTATAGACCGTAACCTTCCCAACGTTCATAATGTTTTTCGTCTTGTCAATGATTACGGATGCGTCATTTCTCATGGCCAACACAATATGTTTTACCTCGTCTGTTGAAATAATGCCGATTTGCTTTAAATCATGAGAGAAATTCTTCATTATGATTATATCGTTTTTATAAAAAAAAACTGTACCAGTTGTCTAAGAGAATAGAGAACGTCCACGGTTTTCATAGACAGCGTTAAAGATTTATTATTGTTATCATTTGAATATCAATAGCCTCGAATAATTATTCTACATAATAGGGAAACTAAAACTTCCCTCCTCGTAACTTCCCTCCTCATAATACCCAGGCAAAAAAAGAGTAGGCAAGGAAATCTATCTTATAAAATAACTTAAACGTCCGCTTAAGAGTAGATTCTTTGAGTTAAATAGCTAGTTGCGTCGAGCAAGTGCCCACGTGGTTTTGACTAGAGGAATAGGGCTCAAACATTCTTCATTTTTTTTCAATTTGTCAAGTTCCTATTTCGATACATAAACAAAAGAACTAGACAGGTGTATTTCGGAGAAGCAATCTTGCACTCTGTCTCGTCGCTAACTTGCTCGCTAATTTTCTTTTTTATCCTGTCTCGCAGCTATAGCAAAGTTTGCGCCAAGATTAAACTTTTAGTAAACCCGACAATTTAAAGACGCACAAGATTGAAATCTGGTGATGGGCACTTCTCTATCAACGTCTCATCTGATCAATATGATTCCTTCGGACTTTATATTTGTTATATTATGTAGATATGCCCTTTCTGCGGACGAATCTTTGTACGAGCTACGGTTCGGGAGATATATCGAAAACAGTGTTTTTTTTCCAGTATATTGAACAGTCTATTTATTATCGTTACTAGTCATAGGTACAAAAACGATAAATTAAACAATCGTCGATATATGATGATGGCTATACTATGTGATTCATCATTAAGTAAAAACTGTTCTCTGTACTGTGTGTTCATGTGTGTAGAGAACATTCTGTGTGCAGATGTAATGGATTTTTTTCTCTATATCTAATGTAATCATAAACTGTTATTCCGTTATGATAAAGGCGTACTTAGGAGATGCTTTGATTAATGCATATCTACTTATATTTATTTACTCGAGTTTTTAACCATACATAAAATATTCAGTAGTTTTTTTATGCCATTTAAATACCGTCGTGAGGAATTGCTTCATGATAACCGTCAAAGAAGTTGGCGTAGAAACGTTATCCAAACCTTTTTATTCTGATCAAACAGATACTAAGAAAAACTAAAGATAAAAATTGAAATATTTTTTGGTATTTACTCATAGAATGTTCTACTTTTATCTACTTTGACACATCGGCATCAGATCAAAAGTGAGTGTGAAGAAAAAATAATGAAGAAACGAGTCTGTCTGATATATTATACAAGGCTTTGTATCATGTGAAACATGAGAAAATTTTATTGGCAATGGAAAAAGCGGCGACGGAGCAGAAAGCTTATAGAGTGACCCTCGCGAAGTAGATTTTTCGAAACGTGGCGAGGTACGGGGCGATGACGAGACAAGAAGTTCGCGAGGCGATCCTCGAGGCGGAGCTAAAGATAGTCCATCGCTCACCTCTGGTCTCCATCGCTCCTGATGTTCCGTCGCCTCTCTGTCGAGCAAATTTTAGAAAATCTGAGATAGAAATCTCTAACATCTCTTGTACTCAGATACTCGAACTGAGTCATTTTTTCACGGCAGTTGGTGGAATTTTGCAAATATTAAAAGTTTATCTTTGTCATTTAATTGATTATTATGATTTGAAATAAGATCTCATTTGTACTTGCTTTTGTTGAATATTATCCGAACAAGTTGATTGAGAGAAACGAAAGGACATTTATTTTTATTTTAAATGTGATCATCACACGAAAGTTAAGATGAAGATTATTAAAGAGACATAATTGTTCTCATATTACTGTTCATGAATAGTTGTAAAAGAATCGATTTTACAGTACTCACAAAAGCAACGACACCTCTATAACTCAAGAACTATGATAGCTAGGGACTTCTAGTTTTATTTGTCATAGCTCTTACCGAATACTGATCAAGTTTGGGCCTTTTTCACTGGATGGTTGGTGAGATATAAGCGATTTATTTCTTTTCCGTAAAATATCAATAGCTTCTGATCTAAGAGAGATGAAGACTTTTTCGTTTTACTGAAATGTAGCCATCACTCTACTCTATGTACGATATGAATTTCGTGAGTTGACTGTTAGTAGTCGGTGAAATATGAGCTTATTATTTATTTCAAATACTTTATTTCAAAATAGAGTGCAGATGAAAGACAGTAGAATAACTCTGGAAGGCAAGCAATTAGAAACTCATGCGATCTTCACCGCTGGAAAGTGAAGAGCGATCTGTGTTAGATTTTGGGTTAGACTCTCCAGTCAGACACTGGCAAGTAAACGTTTCCCGTTGCCGATGCGTCTAGGAGATGGAGAAAAGAGTGCTCTTTTCTCCGCAAGTTGCAGAATTTTCTCGGCTTTCCTTCGGCGGCTACAGACAGGACCCAGGTATCTACCTACACGAGTCGTTGTTCATAATTTTTTTCCTATTTCTGAACAGACACAAGATCAGTCCAAAAAGTGCTTCCATCTATGAAAAACACATCAATACCATTGTAACTTGATTCATTTATTCCATAGTGATTGTACCGCCGTTGAACTGTACAAATCATACTGAACTTAATAGTGGTCTACTTGGATGCATAGAGGTTTCACTTAGCAACTAATCCTGAAAAATTATGCAAATGGTAGTTTAACGAAACAACTTTCACACTCTGATAATCATCGAGACGATACTTGCCAACGAACATTGGAAAAAGAACATCAATTTCAAATGGCTCTACCGTTTTTGCCTGGTAATACATTCGAACGAAAAGTAGGTCATTTGAAAGTATTTCAGAAACATATTTCGCGGAGGAGAGGAAATTTTGGGCACTACTATACAACAGAGTGATGTTCTATTTGAAAGTCTCATTTTTCACTGTTTATGCTTAATTTCATGAACCTTCTTGTCGAAAACTGCTTGTTCTCTACCAATATCCAATCACCTCTGATATTTTTCATTTTTCGTGGTTTATATAGAGTGGCAACGACAAATTCCATCGTCCTCATCAATTTGACAAATATAATGGCGTTTCAATGTCAACAGGAACAAAGCTAGGTATTGGTGGAGTTCCATTACCGGGTGAAGATTTACGACCAAAAAATTCTGTGTATCCAAGAGGTTTGTTAACATCTAATTTTCTTATTTTATTGTATTTTATCTGCTTTTTCTTCCATGAATAGGAGAAGGTCCAGACAGACCAGCCTGGTTAGCCTTTGATAAACAAGTATTGTGTTTCGATGCTTATTTTCAAGAATCTATAACAGAACGTCCACAAGAGCAATATCGTATTCGAAAATGTCGAATTTATTTTTATCCAGAAGATGACACTGTACAAGTCGTTGAACAACGTCAACCAAATGTAGGTTTTCCGCAAGGTACAATTTTGAAGAGACATCGTGTGCCATTAGTAGCTCCAAATGATGATCGTTTTCACACAATTGAATATTTCAATGTTGGTAGCGAATTATCATTTTATGGACGAGTATATAAAATAATTGATTGTGATCAATTTACAAGAAACTTTTTAACCAAACTTGGTGTTCGGGTTCCACCCGGTTAGTAAGACAGAAGTATAAGAATTATCTTATTCATCATACTAAATCCTATTTAGGCTTTTCTGCACCTGAAGATCCATTTTTGAAGCAGAGACAAGGTGTATGTATAGATGTTTTAATGTATAAAAGGAACAAATGTTGTTCTATTTTATTTAAACGATGTATTTTAGCTTGATGGAGGACAAAATCCTTTACGGCCATATGAAAGAGTTGATTCATTGAAAAAGTTTTTGAATCATGACCAACATGTATTACGATTCTGGGCGGTTTGGGATAATACTGATAGTCTATATGGTGATATAAGAGAATTTGTTTTGCATTATTTTCTATCAGGTTCGTAAGCCTTTTTCTTTTTCTCATTTTCTTCACTGTGAGTCTTATTCTTTAGATGATACAATGGAAATCCGAGAAGTATTACCACCAAATAGTGGACGCGATGCGCCGCCAATTTTCTTGAGTCGTGGCAAATTACCAAAAGAATTTCAGGGATTAAGATTACCAGGTGAAAATGCACAAAGAACAGTATTGAATGTATTTGGTCAGCTCAATAAACAACGATATATATTAGATAATCTTAAGGTAATAGCAAGTACAAGATCAGTTTGCGTCTGTGAATGACGTAACATTAAAATGTATTGCTATTCATAAAGAATAACGTCCGATAGATGGTGGTATTGTTATAAGTAATGGATTTATCTTTTTCTTCATTTAGACTGGTGCTCTTAACGACGCATACTATACTGACCAAGATTTGGCAATTGGAAAAATGTTAAATGTTTATGGTCGAAATGTGTTGATTACTGACTGTGATGAATTTACAAAAAATTTCTATCGTACAAAATATGGTTTGCAAGATTTCAGTCCAATTTCATATAATAAAAAAGCGAGTACGAAACCACTAAAACAAGCTTATCCATGTAAGTTATCTAAAAAAGGAAATACTTTAGACAATATTATATGTGCTGTTGCTTGTTGAAGATACTGGTTTTGGTAGCGAAGAAGATTCATTAAGTTCAACGAAAAAAATAATACCGGAACCACCTAAAAAAGATTTTGTCAAATTTATGGGCTTTGATAGACAAGGTTATGAAACAAACATATTACGATTTATGGCACGAATTATTACAAAAGATTCTATTCAATCTGCCCGTCGTTTTATTATATCTTATTATCTTAGTGATGACACAATTTACATCTACGAACCACCAGTAAGAAATTCAGGTAATATACGAACATATGTAAAAGACACTGAAATGCTTCAGTATTTAAATTTTCTAAACTAAATTAAAAAAAAACTTACTTCTTGTCACAGGTATTCAAGGTGGCAAATTTTTGGAACGTCAGAGAATCAAAAAACCTAATCAGACACGTTATCCTGTTGAAATTTCGGATTATTTTGGTGCCGAAGATTTTTATGTTGGTGCATGTCTTGAAATAAATGGATTTATATTTGATCTATATGATGCTGATGAATATGCATTCAAACTAATGGAAGAGCATAGTCATATGGTAAAAGTTTAACACGAGAAAACTTTAATAATTTATCATATTTTGAATTTTTTATTTTAGTTTTCAAAAGCAAATCGTTCGCTTATTATGCAAAAATTGAAAGACTTTTTTACATCAAATTCAGCAGCTGTTTCTCAATTTGATGCACATGATCCACATCGTCGGGGTTATTTTGGTTTCGAAACATATTACTGTCTAATGAAAAATATCGTTGGTAAGACGTAATCACTATTTTTGTAGGTTTTAAGAGCGCCGTCTAAAATATCTTTGTTGACTGTAATAGGTCATTTACTTGTCGATCATGAAATTATAACGATTGCACGATATTACGCTCAACAAGTTATACAAGAACATGATATCTATTCTGTCGTATCTGTTGCTCAAGAGCATTTAAGAAAAAATAATTACGAAACATTTTCATCATTGAAAGAAAATTTAATCACCAGAGATCCAAGGTATATTAATTGTTATAAAATAATAATTGATTAATATAAATAATTTCTCATATTTCAGTATGAAAGGACGATTACCAGCCGATGAAGTTCGAATTGCTTTGAAATCTGTTCATGTACCATTACCAGACTATTTGCTGAACACCCTTATTAAACTGTATGCAAAATTGATAATAGTTTCAATGAAATACTAAATTTTTTCCATTTATTTCTTTGTTTAGTATGACTCAAGATGATGGTTGTGTAGATTATTTAGATTTATTGAAAGCGTTGAATTGGCGAGAAGCTAGTGTAGAAGCTCCTAAACTACCTACAGAAGAGGCACGTTTAAATGATGATCCGAAAAACTTTGAAAAAACGACACATGAACGAAAAAAATTCAATGTTCAATATTCTGAATTTTTGAAAGATTTGGGTTTAAATACGACAAATGTTACAATAACACAAAATAATTATGAAGATTCAGGACACTAATGATAAAAATACTCGATATCTGATAATATCCCATTATGTGATATTTAAAAAAAAAATGATAAATTTTTCTATTATGCTATTATTGTCAAACTATACCAAACAATTTCCATACTGAATAATATAACATTTTATTTGATAAACAAATGATTTTGTTTTGCTTGTGTTTATATAATCTATTTTCTTTATTTAAAAAAATAGTGCTCATAATACAAATTTTATAGATTGAAAATAATGCACTATGACAAATGTTTCTGTTTTATCGTAAAAGGTCCTGCCATTAATAAAGGTCAATGCACTATGACAAAGGTAAAATGCAAAAGTTTAGAGTTGTGGTACGATGTACGGGAGTCTGCTTTCAAGCAGGAGAAAACGACCATCACGTCGAAGAGTATCTATCTCCAACAAAGTTAAAAAGCAGATTCGGTAATTAAATATAGAAGAAAAAGATTGGCGAAGAATCATTCAGGTGTGGGTTAAATGTCGCTCTTCCACTTAAGTACTTTATATCACACGAATGATGGCGCTATAGCGGAGAAAAGAATTTTCCTTCACTCGGATTTGTTTGCTTCGTCGTCCAATACAAAGTTGTTTTACTTCAACGGTCGCAGCCGGTGATCGATTATAAATTTGAAATTATATTTAAAGTCATGAGTATAGTTAACGTTAATTTTTTTGTATAGAATAAAAAACTGCTGTGAGTAGTTATCTAGATTTCTATGTGAAAAGAGCTCTGCCAACGTTTTTACTTAAACTTCCTTTTGAAAACACTATCTGTTCGTTCGAGTCTATTTAGCATTATATCTGAATTGAGGACATTTTAGTAGATGTACTTCATACAAGTACTTGATTACTTGAGAGTACTTCGAAGTACGTGACAAGTTAAGCACTTGGGAAGTACTTGAGCAAGAACTTGACAAGTACTTGAGCAAGAATTTGGCAAGTGTCGTTACTTAACTTGCTTCATTCAAGTACTTGAACAAGTCAGTCACCCTTTCCTTTTACATTGACCGGTTGGAATAAACACCATAATATCAATCGTTATATACTTATAAAATAAACTTATATATTTCTATCGAGTTGAGCAAACTTAGTAGCCGTGCATGTATTTGCTCTACAAAAGTAGAGTATTTAATATGTATAAAATAGAAAATAACAATAAACGGAACAAGTATTTGACTGAACCTATTTGACTCAACCTTTTTTAGATTTACTTGCATTGTGTCCGGCAAGTACTTACATTTTACTTGGAAAAGTCCACAAGTACTATCGTCATTACTTAACCCACGTACTTGCGCAAGTACGTTGCTCAAGTACATTCACTAGGGCATGAATTGATAATGTTCATTTTCTTTTCAAATCTTTATCGTCTCTCTTACTGCTTTCAATTAATCAATCCTGTTATCATCCTATTATTATTTTTTTACAGATTTGTCAGATATCAATAAGCCTTGTCAGATACGTTCCTTTTCTAATATTTAATTTTATTCTTCGTCATGTCCGTTTCGTCGTTCGCTAAACCAAAGATACAACAGCCATCACGTGAAAAAGTTGATCGATTACTATTATTCTCAAGTAAGTTGTCGAGAAATTAGCAACATGATTTTATGTATTGTTTCTGTTTTTCTCGAACCTCTAGGCGTTCAATGCTCTTTGTCTAGACGCATCTTTTGGAAGAAGAAAGACTACCGTTATCGATGTAGGGTGCTACTCAATGACAGTTTCAATAACCTAAGATCTTCCATGCAGTTGATAAGCTTCTGCCATGGTCACCCATCTCGTTACTATTCATCAGCCACAGCTCTGGACAGAAGGTTAACCTAACTGAAAATCCTTTTGGCCAATTGTCCGAGCCCTCTGGACACACTCACTAACCACGCACTAGCTGTTCGAAAACTAAGTAGAAAAACTGCATTGTACGTTACAGCGTAGTTAGCATGTAATCGAACAAATGATCCGAGGCACTAAGACGCAAGTACGTTGGCCAAGGTTATTACATAGCCAGTGTCTAAACACAATATCTTTGAAGTACGCGACGAACCGCATAAACACCAAATTGTTCTATCATTGTGTGTAAAAACTCACTCTCGAATAAAATGGTGGAAACATATTGTTTAATTATTTTAGAATGTGTATTTTATGTTGATTGTGAAAGTGAATTGGCTACAGAAAATTATGTCGAACGATCACTACGACTTGGTAATATTTTGAAAGAATATGGTGCACAAATATGTGATGTTCCTTCCGAAAAAACAACAACACATATCATTTTTAAGCACGGAAAATATGAAACGAAATTATTTGCACGAAAATATCATATCCCATTAATTGATCCGAAATGGTTAGATTGCTGTGTAAAAAGAAAACAAATTATTAGTTACCGAAAATATCAAATCCCGTTGAATGACATTATCATTGGAAGTAAAGGTAAATCTAACTCCTCATGATGGAAGAGAATTACTGTCTATAGAGTATACAAAGCCAAAATATATACATCTGTAAAAAGATCCTTTTGGCTACTGTACTGCCGTATTCCTGAATTGTTTTACATTGTTTATTTAGACGAAGAAAATGATGAAAATAAAGACATTACTGTTTTACCAGAGGTATTTTCTTTGACAATCACACCCAGAAACGAATTCGCATCTGAAAAACTACAACATCTTCAATCCAATAACTTTACACCAAAAAATAAACTATATGTCGTCTCTACTGATGTATGTTTGTGTTTTTGTAAGCTTTTGTGTGAAACAAAATCTCTACCTAGCTATATATACTTCTCCTAGGCAAAATATTCATCGATTGGTAAAAAGAAACTCTTTACACCAGTTCGTGGTGAATTCGATAATTTACCAAAAGATCGCTATTTTGAACAAGTACAGACGATTACCGTTGACGATATTATTCCACCAACCCAAGAGGAAAATGGTAACTTGTTTGCGTCATTGTTTAACCATTGTATATTCCACTAATGAACTTGGTCGCTTGAAGAAAGAAGAACCATTTATGTGCTATGGACGGAGGCTCTTGAATATTTTTAATCCTTGTAGTTTGCCTTTTACCTATTTTCATATGGTGTAGGAAACTCTACCTTTTTAACATGTCTGCTAAGCTAAAATGAGCATCATCTAATGCTTTAAGTTCATCTTGTTTAGATACTGAGCAAGTTTTAATTATTAATCGTTATGGAGGCAATGTTATCCGGATTAAACCGATTAAAAATGAAAAAGTCGAATCCATTCTAATACCACAAACTTCGAATGATTCTTTAAGTATTGACCAAATATCTGTCATAACACATGAAGAAAATGATAAACCTCAATGGAATGACACAAGTATACCACATGAATTTTATCGAAATAAATTGACAACTGACCACGTACAAGATTCACAAGCAGATGATACAATCATCATTCTGCCTTCACAAGGTAAATAACTTATGGAATATTAACATAACACAATTTTTTCTTCAAGATTCACTAATACAATATAATCGATTTCAGCTGATATTTTTTATCGATTCGTTCCTATTCTTTTTTTCTTTCTTTTTAATTACAAAACAAAGTACGTATGATATATTATCAAAATAAATGCAACAGTCTTTAGTGTATGTTTTATGTGTGTTATCTGTGCTACTTTACTCTGAACTGTTGGTAGAACAAAGACATATGCGAACGCAATTTTCTTTCATAATATTCATTAATCAGGCTCTTATTTCAAGTAACACAGTGTCATAGGTCTGAAGAGCATAAAATGAGCAGTAATTCGCGTAATTACTTGACTTTCTTCAAATCCACTTTCGTTTTTATTATAGATGAAAATCAATCGGATAAATTAACGTGTTCATCTTCACCAGTTCACTTTGGTTATTTTAACGGTGAACTTTTATCGTTGCTAGAAAAAGAAATGGCTTCAAATCGTTGGCCTTTTCAGCCATCAGCCATAATGAATACAGACGACTTGATTTGGTCGTCAAATGAACAACTATCTTTCTCATTTCCGCTTAAACCGCAATCGACTCAAATTAACGAACCATTACAGTGTAGCCGCCCTCGCTCACCGACGTTTAACAGAACACCTCAGGCAAGACGAAGAAACAAAGAAAATCGTCGACCATTATCAATGCAAAAAATTTCTACAATTGAACAACAACCATGTTCAACTTTTTTGTCATTGACAAATGTCACACCATTAGCAAAAGATGTCTTGTTTGTTTTAAGTTCAATTGATGATGAACTAAAATCTGATGCGCCGCGTATACAATCCCAGTTAAGATTAAGTTTAGAAGAAGATACAAATTATACTCAATCACAAAAACAACAACAAACTGAACAAGTGCAGACATCGGCAACCCAAATTAGTGAACAACAGCAATCGTCACCACCAATAGAAATAAATCAATACCAAGCACAATCTCTCAATGAAGATGAAGTACAGGAAGTATTAGAAGCTCTCAACAGATCATCTCAAACTGATCATAACGATACAGCTGATGATCAGCTTGGACCAATTCATGTTGTATTCAAGACGAAAAGACCATTTCGAACTGAACATGTACCATATCCACCACCGTTAATTTCGTATTCACAAGCTATTCGAGAAAAAGACCAACAACAACATGTTCGAGAAAATACATGTAAATTTGTTTGATCTTGATCGAACATCTACCATCGATCTGATATCAATAAATTCTACTCTTTTTTTTAGTGACGAATACAGCATTGAAAAGTCTTCCAAGAAAACCTGCCAATTATTCTTTTGTATTAAGTGGTCTTACAGCAAGGTATGTCTATTTGTTAGCGTATAACCGTCCTATCATGTAATCATTTCTTTATTAGCCAATGTAATAAAGTTCAAAATCTTGTACGTAAGATGGGCGATTGTTATTTACAAACGTATGTTGATTTATCTACAACTCATGTTATTATGAATTATGAAGATGATAAACCTCCCGAAGAACAAATAACAATGGAAATTATTTTGGCTATGTTATATGGTTGCCCTATTGTAACAGTCGATTGGATAGTAAGATCAGTTAAAGTTGGTGAATGGTTATCGTGTAAAAAATATGAAATCTTATTAAAAAAAGTTCAGTCAGTTAAACTCTATAAAAAAGCACGTCAAAATGGTAAACCAATAACTTTATTTCAAAAGTGTGAAGATATTTATTTAACATCAACGACAAAATATCCGAGAGATGATTTATTAAGAATGATTATTTTATCAGGAGGAAATGTACGTATCAAATGAAGAAGAGATTTTCAAAAAGCTCACTTTTGATCTTGTATACATGCTCATTTTATTAATAGTCTGAAAGATCGAAGATAATGATGTAATTAAAGGTAATAACTTCTTTGCTTTTAGACAACTGTTTGCCGCAATCGTGCCAGAGTTGTTGTTGGAAAGTCATCGAAACTACTCAAAGTTATTCCATATCCGAATGTGAAGGAAGAATGGGTCATAGGTAAGAAAAAATTCTTATATGCTCTTCTGGATGATAGATGTTTTTAGTTTACACCCTTTACCAAATGCACGCTATAAGAATTCATCATACAAGCAGTATTTACCAATTGCATGTAATTCTGCGTTTTTTTACACAGAAAATTTTTCATAGCGGAAAATGGTATTCTAGAATTTTTCTAATTGCTGAGTTTTGTAGAGCAAAAATTGTTAACAAAACATTTTACTAAATGCTTCACAAGAGGTTCATGACTCTTTTTCGAGATGCGATTGTAGCTTAAAGAAAAAAGATGAAGGATTCTGTTGTGTTCTGGAATGAGATTCTCTAAAATTCTTGAAATTTTTAAAATTTTTATATGAAAGCGTTTCTTCCAATTATATTCTCTGTTTTTTGTCCCTTGAATAGAAATAAAATTTTTATATTCTATCTTGATGCTTCTAGTACAAATTTCGTCTTTTTTATCGATCTAAACTATTTTTTTTTCATCTTTTTTGTTTTGTTGGTCGATGCGCATACAGATGCCGCACATGTATGTTACAATATGTTATATCATGTGCGCATATTCTGTTCTTACGCAACATGTTCAGTTCACATAGAAATATTTGAGTTGACGAAAAACTCTAGAGAGAATACGTAGCAGTGAACATGGTACTAGAGTTAATAGATACACTAGAGCAATCATTTATCTTGTCAAAAAAGCAATCTTTTCGACTCTGAAATCTTTTTAATGCCTTCCTGGAATGCCTAAAAGAATTTATAAAACTTAGAATATCCTATAGCTCATATCTTATTCTGTAGAAAAGTGTTTGCTCTACGAAACTGAGTCATTAAAGTTTAACTTTTCGTACTCTTCATATGATCTGACTCACAAAAAGAGTAACATATATCGGGGAATATGGGTGCATACCTAACGAGAATTTTCTGTAAGTAACACTGAAAGCAGTCCATTCTTTCTTTTTTGTCATTTAGATTCAATCAAGGAAGGTCAAGTTTTACCATATGAAAACTATTTAATAGATGATTAAAATAAATTTTTGTCTTATTAGCAGTTTCTTGTGTGTATTTATATGTTTTTTGCTTTTCTTTTTTCCACTGGGTGAACTTAAATGAATCAAAAATATGTGACTTTTTTATTTTTTTCTTCTCTCGATGTTTTGTATTCTTTGTTACATTGTATATTTATTTGTACTTCTTTTTTGTGTCAAATTCAGATATGACTTCTTTTCTGTGTACAAACGCTAATTTTTATTCATCATTAGTACATTTTTGTAGTTGTGAGCGTCAAAAAAAAGGTTCATTCCATTTCAATAAGATTGAAAGGATTAAAAAAAAGAACTGATAACACATTTTTTTTTCTTCTTTTGACGGAGAAAACAAAATTCTGTCAACATTACACTCTGTACAAGCCCTTGAAAAGTTTGTGATGAGATGTTATTTACGAGACATGAAGTTCATAAGTGGTAGTACCACTGACTACAAATAAAATAGTCAGAAAAGTACAACGAAGATGAAATATCTGCTATATCTCTTCTTTCGAACTATTGAAAAATCTGGAGTTTTCACAAAAATGGATTGTCATAAAGTTCTACAAAACTTTCTGAATAGTCTCCCCACTCATTTATTTTATTTGCATGATAAAAGACGTTACAAAATGACAGTGTCTTTTATGGCTCTACGACAATTGATTTGAATAATTGTTTCTTTATTCTTTTGAATAGATCAGATATTGGTGTAATTATGACGTCAAAAGATTCTGCTTTCATTGGTATCAGACTGGGTGCTAGTAATATTTCAGTAGCTTATTACAAGGATGGACGAAGTGAAACGATTGTCAATGAACTTGGAGATCGTTCAACACCCACATTTATCACTTATAACGATAACGATAGTGTAAGTGTTGTACATACGAACGATAAAAACGTTTTTTCCAATCCTCTCATGTTTTTCAGGTACTTGGTTTACCGTCGAAACAAGGCCTTACCAGAAATCAACAAAATACAATTATTTGGTCACCACATTTCATTGGATGTTCTGAAAGGCGAAATGAAGAATTTCTTACATGTTATAAACAAACATCTCCAATTGATGTAAGAAAAACAAACTAAAATACGTATTCTACATATGGTAGAAATTTCTACTTTTGTAGGTGACGGAAAATGATAATCGTGTGACATTTTCTTTGACACTTAATGGAAAATCAAAATCAGTCGATCTTGAAACAGTTATTACAGCATTTTTTCATTATATTAAACGTAAGTAGATGAATTGATCGCCCTGTTAATTCATGTAGTAGCAGTGTGTATAATCTTTTATTTTCATCTTAGAACTGGTATTGTCTGCCACAAATTTGAAAGAGGTACAAGCAGTGTTATCATCGCAATATAACATGATTGATGATCAAGATTTAATTCGGTAATGATAAAAGTAAAACAAAATAAATCGAATATAGATTAAGATGTTTTTTCTCGTTTTGTAGAATATGTATAAAAAAGAGTGGTATAGAGTTGAAAGCAATTATACCAGATGCCTGTTCAGCGTGTTTAGCCTATGAATTGGATAAAGACAGCGGTCATGTAGAAAGGTAAGACGAAAATTTGATTTTTCAATTCTAACGGTCACACCCACTAGAAGACTGTATAGACGCACATTCAAATCTTATGTTGTTTTTAGTAATGTGCTTATTTATCGACTTGGTGGATCCACATACGAATGTTCAATAATACGCTCAATCGGTGGTTGTTTGAAAACACTTGCCTCCCAGTATGGCTATGAACATTCGGGTGATCGTTTTACCGATGTTGTTGTTAATATTATTGCTGATGAATTTCAAAAGTAAGCTGATTCGTTTGTTTATAGTATTCAACATAGTTTGTATCTTTCTCTATTCTCTCATCAAAGAAAATACAAAAGCGATCCTAGAAGTGTATCGCGTTCACTTCTTAAACTTCGCGCGTGTGCCGAACAAGCCAAACACATTTTATCAACAACACCTTCGACACAGTGTTCTGTTGATGCATTACACGATGGAATCGACTTAGACAGTTCAATAAGCAGGTATGCTTGAGATTTATAGACAATTGACATTGTTTATATCTTATATGCCATCCCTAGGTTGCGATTTAATGGTGAAGCAAATTCTCTTTTTCTTGAATGTATGAAACCAATCGATTATGTTTTGGAAAAAGCGCAACTGCAAGCAGATGATATCAAACTAGTAAATTTTTTAAGAAACAAAATTTTTGAATCTGTTTTAACCGAGATATTAAACGTTTAGATTGTTCTGTGCGGTGGTGGTACAAAAATTCTTCAAATTCGTGATTTTATTCAACAAAAACTACCAAATGCCGATATGCTTTCATCGATTAATGCCGATGAAGTGATCGCACTTGGAGCTGCGCGACAGGTAATATAATGCTTTGGTTGTTGAGAATTATTTACAGATTATAAACTCGTTTCAGTGCTACATTCAAAATAAATACAGAAATTCAAAAGTATCCACATCCCATGGCAAACGGTCTTCTATACAAGTAAGTTAAAACTTTTTCTTTTAGCTTATACATTTCACTTATGATTATCAATTGTATATTACATTGTGATTTATTTTAGAATGGCGATGATGTTACGATCGATGAATTTGAATGTGTTGGTGTTCGATATTTTCGTTCCCACCTCGATCATACAGGCGAGCAAAATGGCGAGGCAACCGCAAGTAATAAAGAAGAGAAAGAAGTTTTAAGTGATAGTGATGCCGAAGATGATAATGATAAGGACGACGAGCAAGATTTGGATATTGATTGGACAAAACACGAAACATATTTACGTAAATTAGATGTAAACGATTGGAAAGATCAAGATCACTATAAAGTTCTCGGTTTAGCAAAATTACGTTATAAAGCTACACAAAAACAAATTCGTGCGGCACATAAATTAATGATATTAAGATATCACCCTGATAAATCCAAACGTATTGAAAGTGAACGTTTTTCATTAATAACACATGCTTTCGAGATACTCTCAAATCCACAACTGAGACGAGCATACGATAGTGTCGATCCAAAGTTTGATGATACCATACCAGGCTCAACCGTTTCCGTTGATACTCAGACATTTTTCGATATATTTGGACCAGTATTTGAACGAAACGCAAGGTGGTCTAACCTTCATCCAGTACCGTTGTTAGGAAATATTGATTCATCTTTTGATTACGTTAATAAATTTTATTGTTTTTGGTACGAATTTGACTCATGGAGAGAATATTCTTATCTAGGTATGAAATTAAAAGTTACTGTATTTAATTTGTCATAGTAAGAACTGAGAGTTACAATTTTTATAATATGTATCCAAGGATGGTTAATAAGTTCGAGTTTAGTGTATATGAAACTATCCATATCTTTAATTCTAAGCGGAGACAGTTTCTGTTAAAATTTGAGCGAACAACGGCATAGTAGAGATACACTATAACGACAGGACTCATCAGATACAATCGTGTAATAAACTAACAGTTCATGATACATACGATCTGTAAATGGGACTAAATCAAGTGTTTGTTTTTGCATGTCTGATTTATTCGTTCTGTTTAGATGAAGAAGATAAATCTCAAGGTCAAGATCGTGATGAACGACGGTATATTGAAAAAGCAAATCGTGTTGAACGTGTTAAACGTAAGAAGACAGAAATGCAACGTATTCGGTCGTTAGTAGATAATGCGTATAAAAATGATATGAGAATAAAAAAATTTAAACAAGATGAACAACAACGAAAAGATGATGAAAAACTGCGAAAAAAAACAGAAGTAGACAAACGTCGACAAGAACAAAAACAACGTGAATTAGATGAACAAAAACGTATTCAAGATGAAAAACAACGACAAGATGACGAGGTGAAGCGAAAACAAGACGAACTAAGAAAAGAAAAAGAAATACAAAAGAAATTCATTAAAAAAGAGAAAAAACAACTGCGTGATTTGTGCAAAGAGCATAATTATTTTAATGAAAAAGAGAATAATTTGAAACAAATTGAACAGATTGAATATCTAATTGAATGTTTGCCGTTGGATCAATTAAAAGTGTTGAATGAAAAATTGAAAGAAGAAAATTGTGATAAAAAACAACTTATTCTTACTGAGATTCAACGAATAGAAGAGGAAAAAATTCAACAAAAGCGAGCAGAAGATTTACAACAGCAATCAACAGCTTCAGCTTCGGCAAGTTCAGCAGGTAATGTTTTTAAAATCTTTTATACATCTGCTTCTCTTAATGTCTGACTTACATGCAGTTTTATTATTCCATCAAATCGATTCTCGATCATTCTCGAGCACTACTTGAGTATTGAAATTTCATCAGTGTCTTTTTATTTTAGTCAATGGAACACTTTCTAAATGGTCTCCAGACGAAATCGAATTACTTGTTAAAGCTTTAAGGTTATATCCGGCTGGTGTACAAAATCGTTGGAATGTTGTTTTAGAATTCATAAAACGAGGTGGCGGTAGTCAAAAACGGACAGTACAAGATGTTATGCAAAAGGCAAAAGATATTCAAAGTGGGAAAAAAGAGTTGGAAGAAGTTGTTCAATCACTTGATAATATTACATTAAGATCACATAAAAATAAACAGCAACAACAACATATTATCGATGAACAACAACCGAGTGAGCGCGATGACGCAGTATTAGAACAACAGCAACAAGCGTGGACAGCTGATGAACAACGAATATTTGAACAAGCATTACGAACATATCCAAATACATTGGGCCCATCAAGATGGGATAAAATAGCGGAATGTTTACCAAATAGAAGTAAAAAAGAATGTTTGGAAAGATATAAAGAATTAGCACGTATAGTACAAGCTAAAAAACAAAGTGAAGCAGCTGCGACAGTGAAATAGTGTCTCCCAAATAAACAGTGATAATTTTGGCTCGGTGGTAATGGATGAGAAATAAAGCAAAACATTATTAGATTAATTATTGGATTGTATTGTTGTGGTATTTTTTAACGTTCGTACACTTTTGGATAGAAGGATATATTTATCAGCTTAACACCTGTGTACCGCTTACGTGCTAATGATTGAGAGCAGTTGCCGTATTTGAGATTAATAAAAGTTTATTTGTAAGAAATAAGCATCGTTTAACATCTTAATGAGTTTTAGAGGATTTTTATCCCTCTATCGATTAGTGATCCATTATCTATCAGTTTTCATTAAAATGCTTAGAGCCCATCGGTTTTGTTACTTGGTCTTTTAATTTAAAAAATCTGAGTGATACTTTATCATTTATTCCTTCCCCATTATGAATTGTTCTGGCTGTGAATTCTTCAAATGCACCTGTGTTTTACCACATTTCTCTCTTTTACTGATAAGCTCATCTGGAATATTCGTCCTATTGCATAAACATCAAACACTTTTATTTTATCCATCGTAATGAATTTTGTCATTTGTTTTTGTTGTTATTTTTTTCTTTTTGATTTGTGAGTATTTTTTTATTTAACTGCGTGTGTGAGCGTGCTTGTAATGCATGTTGTTGGTTGGACAATGAATTTATCATATTGTTCTTTATTTTTTCACATGTTTGTTTCCTCTCTTTTCCATAATAAACTAGGCAATTTTAAACGGTATTGAAAGTAATTAAATATGAAACGCATTAATGGCGGAGGCTCGGTAGGTGTAAGTCTCTCCAGATTTGGGCTCTAGTGGGTTCAACCTCACCAAATTTCTTTAAAAAGATACAGATGATTAAGTTGTTCACTTTATCCCTAATTGACCATATTTATAAACTAGTGAGTAAAAGATATTCGTGTAAAAGAGTTTATTTGAACGAATATTGGTTTAAAATAAAATAAATCATTGCTCTGAGCGTTTTTATTTTTATTTTGCTTAATAGTGACGAGAGCTCTCTGTTTTAGAAAATTTTATCAGAGAATACTCAAGAAGAACTTTGAATCCTCGTTAGTATGAATTTTCATACTATCATCAAAATTTTTCACTTATCGCGCGCGTCCAAAACATTGATGTTCGCTTTCCAGGTCAAACAATCCTACCGTAGGATTCTGCAAGATTCTTACAAGATCCTTCGAAAATCTTGTAGGGTTTTGTAGAAAAACCTCAGAGCCAAAAAGTCTTACTGTAAGATTCTTATAGGATTCTGTAGTCAGATCTTGTAGAACTTTGCAAGATTCTACTGTAGATATGCAGTAGGCTTTTATCAGATTTCCTGCTGGTTGTTGTAGCTGCTGCGTCTGTCTCATCCTTTTTTGCCTGTGTTCATGCCAAATCCGTTCATTTTCAATCATAAATGTGCTTTTAATCGCTAATACGTGCAAATCACAGTTCATCACACACTAACAGAAAATTTAAATGTAAATAGGTTTATATTTGTTTTATTTAAGTTTGTTTTTATTTGTTTAATATTCTCTGATCCCAGCTAATCAGGTGATTTTGAGCTGGAATAAGCCCAAGACTTGTGAGTACTGACTCACACGTCTTCGGATGGTAGAGAGTTTCAATAGCTCACAGTGCTCGATTCGAAAATTTGAGCCTAAAAGAATTATTTATTTTCTTTAATAGAGCTGGATTTATATTCGAGTTACTGGAAAACACGTTGGTGATTGTGCTCTCGTATAGAAAAAGAAAAGGAAATATATACAGAAAGAAAAAGGAATCCTACAAAATCCTGCACAAGATGTTACCGTAGGATTTTGTGAGAAATGCATAAGATTCCTGTTATAGAAAGCCTATAAGATTTTTGCTACCGTCCTATATCAAGAATCTTATGGAATTCCTGGCGTAGGATTTCATATAACTCTACAATAGGAATCCTACGAAATTCTATTATTAGTAAGATCCTATAGAATCTTATACGATCCTGGTAGGATTGCTTGACCTGGGTTTTCTTCATAACAGGTCTCAGCTTGTGACGGAACTTTTACAGAATGTAGAGAAATGTTTTCCTTCACTCATAATATACTTCTGAGGAAAAACTGCTATAACCAGGTAAGGGGCATGTTTCGTACTTTTTTTCGGACCAAAGCAGCCGTAACTCATGTTCTTTGTGTAATAACAAATTTGACTTTTCTCCCATAATTAGAATAATATCAGATTCGGTTATTTTTGAAAAATATTCTATTTTTATGTATCATATCACATTGAGTATGTATTATAGCTTTTCTCAACAATCATTTTCAATTTCTTTTTTTCTACTGATAAATAGTACAGCTGACAAGATTTTCTTTGTTTATTTGTCCATTCAGTCACACGTATTAGAAAGGAATTGTAGAAAAATGAAGTCTGAAATAGTATTTTGTTTCGATGAACGGAACAAAATCCATAATGCAATATTTTTTGTTTTCCTTCTAGCTAAGCGCAAACACTTGCATCTATCTTTATTAGAATGAGGTCTTTTCTATCCCGTATACGGGGCTTTGCTTCTTCGCAGTACTGTATGGCTGGTACAAAAAATCGTGTTGGAAAAACATAGTTTTTCTATTGTCGCTTCTATTAGTTTCGACTTTGAAAGAGTACGCTACAGTACAGTTCAACACACGGTTAAAGAGCGAAATGAGGTGCATGCTAAAAAAAGGAAAAAAAGGAAATTCTGGAAATTTTTCATTGGTCATGTCCATGAAATATAGGAAAACATCCAAAAAGCGAGAGAAAAGAGGAAAATACTATCGAATAATGGGACGAATGAAAAGAAGACGATTGAAGTGTCACAGGAAAGTGACGGTTGAACTGTCAAAGAAAAGAAATGGGTGGATGCCAAAAAAATGAAAATCAGAAAACTTTGGGTTTACGACTAAGAAACCAGCAAATTCATCCGATATATCACCGACAAAAAAAATTAATTTCATGAAGAGTTACAGAAAACTCCTTCTTTTCGTATTCAACACACTCGATAATCCAGAAAATTGTCTATTTTGGTGGAGACATATTGCCAAAAGTTTAAGAAAAATTTTAAATTATTCACTAAAAACAAAAATTCTTCATTATTTTCGAGTGTGCTGAATACGAAAAGCACTTTTTCGCGACTCTGCACAAATCTTACTTTTTTGTTCACGTTGATACGAGTTTGTCGATACTATTTTAGATGTTTTCTTCGTAAGACTCGTTACTTGTACAGAAGAATCACGCTCTCGGTCTCTCACTTTCGCACACACCTATAATATAAGATGCGTGATTATTTTGTACAAGCATCTAAGATTCCACCAAGACGACTTCTTAGGGTACTAAAGAGGAGAAATTCTTTAGAAACAAACCGATCATCTGTCTCTTGCGGTGGCCCGCTTGTTTATGGTTCTAATTTAGGTAACTTCTATCAATATTTCTCATAGTGGGTAAGGATAATCGGTAATTTATTGTAAGTAACGCCGGCAGCCTTTTTACCGAAGATCGAGCAATTTTTTTTACCGAACTTATGTCTGCTATTTTGGTAATGGATTTACCCGTCACCGCATATCCTTATTAATGGATTATAAGGGAAAGCAGATTCCTCATGCCATATTCTCGTTATTTAATTTTAGATTTTTGTTTGTGTTTATGTCCAAGTGAACTATGGTTTATAAATTGATATACGATGAAAAAGTAAAAACGTTCGGTAATGCATGCTTATCGTACTCAAAATACTCTTTTTATGTGCTGCTTTATTTTCAGATGGTTTGATTAATTTTGTTGAGAAGAGATTTGTTAATGAAAAACATTGGCCAAGTTATCCTGGTGCAAATCAGCATTTAGAAAAACGTTTATTGGAATTTGTCGAAGAAGGTAGGCGTGAGAATAGTGTTGTTATTATTCGGAATGTTTGATCTGCAGATATC